ATGAAAATGTCCTTCATCTCTTTGTGACACAGGACTGAACTGTTTGATCAAAGGTAGCTATCTTACAGCAATCTGTGACAGTGGAGTGGTTATGTGAGACGATGCTGCCGTTATGTGAGATGAAGAACGAGAGGAGCCAGGAAAAGTAAAGGGAGAGAAGGGGAGAGGCAGAAGGTATGGGAAGGAATATTGGGATGGGCTGGTAGACAAAGAATGGTGGGATAGGAAAGGGTAGGAAGAAAGGAGATTGCTTAGCGCTGAACAAGTGCAGCAGCCGCGCGTACATTTATAGAGCCATCGTCCTAGTGATGTACAGATCCCTACACTGTTCTGGTTTCGCAGAGAAACGCGGCCATATTCGGTTCGGGCTCCGGCACCTCATGGGGTCAAATGCGTTTTTAGGTGCGAATATATTCCCCCCCCCCAGAAATGAAAGATTTGGTACGGTCGGTCATGGCATGGTTCGAGATAAAAATCACAGCCTACAGCACTACGTGGCGAAGTGGCCAGTGCAGCATTATCTATAGCCCGGACCACGTGCCAGGAAGGATTTATAAAAGGAATTTGTGATTGAGGTATGCAATGTGTGATTGAGAGATTGGACGAACCACTAAGACCAAAAAAACATATCAACAAATTGCTAACGTAAAGGTTTACCAGTCTGAATCACTAGCCATGAGTGCCTCGTGCGAATTGCACATATTCCACCCACACAGCAATTCGCGTGACAAACTTCTTCAATGTACATCGCAGCAGCCAGCTTTTATAGCCGCTGGGACTGCTTTTCCTTTGTGTTGCTGGGTGCTAACACGGAAGAAAACTCATATCAGCTAGAAAATGGCCGTCGGTCGGCCGTCAAATTAGACCGTATCAGTAGCAGCCTGCCGCCTGTACTGTTTTTACGACGTCGACTGCGCTTCCATGCGGCAACAGACCCAGGTATTTTGCACCGCGTTCCGTACTGGCAAATTGTTGACAAGTGGTAGATCTTGAGGTCACACCCAGTCAGGTAAACATGAAAATACTAGGGGCCATGGTAACGTGGTCGCTTACCGGTGCTTGTCATGGGCAGGATACTTGAGACCATCTTCAGTCGTGTGTCTAACTTCCCTGCTGTTGTCTGCGGGAGCGCGACGGCCCGCCCAGCTCCGCTTTTCCGTGTTCGCGTGTTCGTCCGTGTTCACTCCGCCACCTCTCGCAGATGGACCCTTCGTCCGGACGGTCCCGGAGAGTGGGCAGATCATTGTGGACCAGGGCCAGAACGCCAGCCTGGAGTGTCACGCGCGCGGCAACCCCAAGCCCAGGGTGCGCTGGAGGAAAAAGGTGGTACAGCGCTGCCTTGCGGGCGTACGCGCATTGTCCCACATGTCGATTGACGACTTTTGTTTGGGCGGTTGCATTGCGGCAGTGACTTTTGATTGGACCTATGCTTTAGATATTCGCCAAGATCCAGGGTAATGAAACCTGAGCTGGTATTGCAGGCTGATTACACTCTGGCAGGCCACTGGAGTAATTATCAGTCAACTACACTATAGGAACCGCACGTATAAGCAGTTTGGTAAGTAGAAATTACTTGCTATGGTTCGAGGGAATCTAGGTCCCGGAAATACATTTGCTCAACGTGGTCCAGACAAAATTAAGTGCTGGAGTGTCTTAATCAATACAGATATCTGCCATCCCACTTAATAACATGTTTGGCCTATTTCGAACGTAATTACTAGCCCGGACAAAACACAGATGGCGTTTCGATTACAAGCTGGGCGTGCCGCCGGCGCCGTACGTGATTCATACAGACCTTCTCACCGGCTCACCCCCAACAGCTCAATCCGTCACGATCTCAATCAATGAATGTCTGAACTCGGGACAACGCTGAAATTGCCTCAGGGACGCGTCTTTTCCCCTCACCTTCCCGCTGATTGGCCGAGGCGGGACTAATTGATATCGCCGCTGCTTAATGCGCGCGGCGTCGATCGCCACCGGTATTATTTATGCACGGTCGCGGGCGCGTTTGTCGGGTATAATTCCAGCCGTGACATATCTGACCGATCGGCCGTCGTCACGGTACTCAGCGCTCCTCCCCTTCCCCCCCCCCCCCCCCCCCCCCCCCCCCCCCCGACTGATCGCTACTCACTCCACCGTGTGGCTAGCGTTCCATGGCACAACGCCCTGCTCTTCGGTTGGCGAGGAAAGGCTAGTACTGACGGTTATTAATTGCTGGTTGGAAGGCGAGCCTTGTGGGTGCACTCGTGCTGAAAAACCCCATGTTTGCGCACAGGGTGCGTATCGACATTCTGAACGATTCCGCTGGAGCACGCACTGATAGCTAGCAATAATCGTCGCAAGGATGAGAGCTACTGGCATCGCTGTACTTGAAAAAGACCAATAAGGTCCGCCACGTAAATGAACTGAAGTTGAAATTCACTATGTTTATTATTTACTATGTTTACTTACTATTTACTTGCATTCAATTCTACTTTGCTTATTTATTTACTCCGAGTACACAAAAGACTGCTGCGGAAGTCAAGCGGAATTTCCACCCAGTCCAGTGATGGACAGGCATGTTTGCCTTCCCAAAATCTCTGCTACTCCCAAACACCCACCGGCCCCGTCTCCGGCGCCAACCTCACCGCGGCGTGCTTGACGGCAGGTGCACAGCACGCACAGCATGGTGGAGCTGAGCCGGGGGGAGCGGCTGCACCTGGCGAAGGTGACGCGCTCCGACGGCGGCCTGTACGAGTGCGTGGCCGACAACAGCATCGGCGACACGGTCACCGCCCCGGTCAACCTCCAGGTGCTCTGTGAGTCCCGTGACGTCATGTCGGGGCGTGTGCCGGAGACGCGGTCTCCTGCCGTGGTTCGAGGCTGCCGATTGGGTGGAGGTAGCGTTCCAGACCCGCTGACTATGCGGAGCGCCACGGGGAAGGTGCGGCGCTGCCGCCAGCACATAGGATGAGATGCAGCGTCGGCTGCGGGATGTGGGAGAGGCTCCGCGGTAAGCAGCCGTCATTGGGACTGCCGGCGAGCCGCCTGCGCGACAGACGCCCGCTGGGTTATGCCAACCGCGCTGGAAATCGATACCGCAGGACCGCCTCAGCTCCTATTGTTATTTATTGGCCGCGTCCATTTTTGAGCTGCCACAGAGGGCATCGATTCATCATGTCCTAATGCTGCCGGGGATCACGACTACGGCACTGGCTGGCTGGCTCGGCGGCCCCGGCGCTCCTGGCACGGCGGGCGTCCCCGGCGCGTCTACGCTGACAACGGACCCTGTTCCCGCAGACAAGCCGGAGACGGAGGTGGAGCGCAGTACCGTGTACACCGGGGAGGGCTTCAAAGCGCAGTTAGTGTGCTTTGTCCACGCCGACCCCATCGCCGAGGTTAGTCTCCGCTCACCGTGTGTCGTTTTCTGAGGCTTTGGCTCCCCACAGAGCGGCTGGATTAAGGTGAAGGAGGCTGACGCTCCGAGATAAGAGAACGGAGGAGGAAATGATGTCTCACGCCTCTGTATAGCCTGTTCGAGTTTGCTAAGTGGTGAGCTTGACGTGATGTGGCTCGCAGCGAAGCGGATTTTACCGTTCATGATATTAAAGGGCCAAATGTCAACACAGGTCGGTCGTTCACACTGTTATGACGGGGCGGCGTGAGCCTGCAGCCACGTGATGACCTGCCGTCGCCGCAGGTGAAGTGGAGCCGAGTTAACTCTCCGATCGACTATAGTCGAGCAACGCTGTCAAACGACATCATGATCGGAACGCGCCACACGCTCACCATCGACAACGTCCAGCTGGACGACTTTGACACGTACATGTGCACAGCGCGGAACGGGCTCGGTTCGGCGTACAGCAAGATCGCGGTGTCAGGTCAGTCAGGATCTCACGACTTTTGAACGGGTGCGTTTGATCCCAGTGGTGGGATCAGGTATTTGCGATGACAGTTTTAAAGGTCGCTGCACTGCACCTGGCAATATGCACTACCATATGCGTCTGAAGGTTTGCTGTAAAGCTTCATTGTGAACCGTTCACACGCGTGCCTCTTTTGCACCATAAAGGCACCTTGATTTACAGGGCGGGGTTTCGCGCGGCTGATTTTTTTGGAAACAATAGGCATTGTGCTAAGATCTCATTCAATGCATGGTAAACCAGACGAGACGATTCCGATTCCCTCTGTAGACCATTCTGAAATAAATAGCGTTGTCTATTATTTACCATCATTTACATGACTACGACATCTCCCCAATGCGGAGAGTAGTTGAAAATTTCACCTTACGGCCATACTATGGCGATCGCAGGGTGCAATTTGTCCATTTTGGCTGTGTGATAACTACCATGTGTCTTGCTTGTCATGAATGTTGGCGTAGAAATATAACACGATATTTAGAAATGAAACTTCTCCAGAATTTTGAGGAGACGTTTGCGTTTCAGGAGGTCAAAGTGTTAGGTGAAATCAAGCAAATGACTTTTGTAATGTTTTGTCCGGTGCTGATATTTAGAAAATTGATGCTCCTGTTACGTCAAGAACTGCCAATGCCACGGCAATGCGGAGGATGGCGTTGAATAGCTCTCGCCAAACTTCATCGGATTCATATTAAAAAATATTGACATGTGTGGCCTATGATATGTTACGCGGCAATGGAATGCATGCCATTTTTACATAGACTCGTCCGGCGATATCAATAATTAAACAAGCCACCGCAGTGAAAACAGCTTTAGTAAGGATTTTTAAAGCTGTAAGATATTTGTAATTGAGCTGTAACTTCTATGACCATCGAAGGGTCAAATTCAGTCACAAATGTCAAAGTTTCTTGAATTTGACCTCAGATGATAGGTCTTTGCAAATGCCAGCAGGACGTTATACGCACACTTCCGACTGTTGAAGAAAAGAACCTTTTTTGCGAACACATATTTTTGTGGAAAACAATAGCTTTTTTCAATTTTGGAGAAAAAAGTCCCACATATGACCTTGAGAAAAAGGCATTGGGCATGAACCGCTAAAGTCAGAAAGTTCAAGGCTTCACAACGTCAGTGGAACAGTATGTGAATGCCACCACAAACTTTCAACGGCGTGCTCAAACCGGTCTGGCGTTATTCTGGAAGCCTTAGGCCACCCTGGTTCGGCGAGGGTTGAAAACATTTTATCACCAAACTAAATATTTGTTGCCGTATATCACCAAACAAAGTTGTATTTTTAAGAAATGCCATAGAGATGACTCATATTACAATTATAACGCACGGCTGACCTTGCAATAGTGCAGAGTAGTGACCTACTTGACTCTCCCCTGGTAATCGCAAGCGGACCTCAGTAGGCCCATTCACGCCAGTTCCTCTCTCGTCCTGTGCCGATATCCCAACATGACGTCACACCGATCAATATTCAGGTCTGTCGTTCTTGAAGCCATGCATTATTCGTGTATAAGCAGCATGATAACAGATTCAAGCGCAGCTAAAACAGATAGGCTGTCGACGTCAGGGGAGATGGCTTGCTGTCTAACGACAAAGCCAGATACCCTTGCCATACATTTATGGATGATTGGCGTGTTCATAGGGTTTTACTTTTGGCCCACCTTTTTGCACGACTTCAGATGGAGTCAGAATTCTCTTTGTCATTTTAACACGACGACAAAAACGTGCGAAATTCTGCCTGCTTTGAAATGCTACAATGCAGAGCATTAAACCATGATTTAATTCCCACAAATATCGGGTACTATTTAAACAAGTAATTGCATTTGCAATATTAACGTCCATCGCAATGTTATACATTTCAAAGTCAAAGTCACGTTGCCTGCATAGTGTAAAATTTACAGCAGGCGCCACCATAGCACGCGCGAACCTCTTCGGTTGGCGGAAACAAAAAGCCTGTTTTAGGCTACGATGTTTTTATTTTGCTTTGGCTGGACCACTAAGTCCATTCACCATACAGATCCTGCAAATAACCAACATCCTAGGGAACATCCATCGTACTTGTCAACCGCGACCGGATGGGTGGCATTGTTTTTGCTTCGTTGATTGATGAAACGCCGTCATCTGAAAAATAGCAAATGTTTGGTCGGGTTGATACTCTGCGACCTTTGCAGCCAAAGACTGTCAAATTTTGTAACAAGATTAGTTTCAGAAAGTTCTGCTCCTCCGCTCACTGAAGTGATAGAACTCCTAGCGCAGCCCTTATATATCGTAGACAAGCCGTTTGTGAATTGAATACGTTTTTGTGCACAAATTTTTAGCCCTAGTCACATCAGAAACTGGTGAAGACACCAAGCATGACTGGATGCAAATCTGTATTCCATGATGTTCCGCCCATCCGCGTTTCCCGCCTCCCCCTGCCCCCCCCCCCCCCCCCCCCCGCTCGGCCTTGTCCACCCTCATTCCCCTCCCCCTCCCTCTGCCCGGGCAATACATGGACGCTCTGTCAACATATTGTTTCATTAGCCCGACATCCAATAAGCGAGCCACAAACTAGTCGGGCAGCGTCCGTTCGCCTTCTTCCAGGGGTGGCCGACAAGGTGGAGGTGATCAGTACGCCGATGGACGGGGACTCGGAGTCGTACGACCTCGCCTGGAAGGTGAAGAGCTACAGTCCGATCATCGAGTACAAGATCGCCTACCGCAAGACCAAGGTGAGGAGTGGTCCGCCAGAGTTACAGTTGGAGAGTTAGAGTACAAGATCGCCTACCGCAAGACCAAGGTGAGGAGTGGTCCGCCAGAGTTACAGTTGGAGAGTTAGAGTACAAGATCGGCTACCGCAAGACCAAGGTGAGGAGTGGTCCGCCAGAGTTACAGTTGGAGAGTTAGAGAACAAGATCGCCTACCGCAAGACCAAGGTGAGGAGTGGTCCGCCAGAGTTACAGTTGGAGAGTTAAGTAGAGTTAATGGTTGACGACGAGATGAACTACCACCATGTAAAAAGTACAATTCTACGGCTATACGAGTTTTGCACAATCATATTCGTTGTAATAAAGGTATGAAGCCGAAATAACAAAATATACATTTCTTCCTTCTCTTGGTTATTATATGAGGCATAGGGCCAACAATGCGGTCATATCGATATGTAAAATTATTCTAGGAAATGCACTTAGCAACTCACATAGACATGTACAACATTTTATTCTCAGCAAAGGCGTCGCTTGCAACGAATACGTTATGCATTGGAATAATGGATTCGAAAATTCCGTTTGACATTATCTCTTTGAGAACTCCTATCATTTCTGTGAAATTTTCAGTTTCGGCTGATTTTCATCTCAGTCATTAATCCCCGTTCCATCTTCGTGATATGCAGGTGATCGCTGCTGCTTGCAGATCTGATTCTTCACTCAAATGCACCAGATTTCAATACAGTACCGTTCTATAGATATCTGCAATTTCATCCCTTTCTTTATCGCGAGCACATCATTATGCATATTGCAGACCGCGAAGAGATTCCGATACATCCTCGCCAGACCACTCAAGTAAACTTAGTCGTTTCATTAACTTCCCGCCGTTCCTTTCAGAGCTTACCTTGGCTAATGATAAAAATACTAGTTGAATGGGACCCAGCGAGTGAGAGCCTCCAAGTCTAAAGAAGATAAGAATCAGCGTCCGTAGCGGTGCAACTGAAAAATAACTGGATAATTATGTTTGGTTGAATAACAGCGGTGCGACTTCTCTAACTTAAAGAACAAAAATGAATTATTCTACGGCTCGGTAACTTATGAGCGGGGCTTACGTTTGAATTGTTAATGATATTGCACTCGAAAGTGATGCAAGTTCTTTCCAGAACAGGATTGGGTCGTATTCGCGACAGGCTTTGCACAATTATCAAGAACAGCCAGTGGATAGGCGAGGTGTCCACCGCGTCAAGTTGAAAGAATATATTCGCTGAAACACAGATAGCGGAAGCGCAGTTTTCCGATTTTAACCATAATTAGGTAACGAAAAATATCAGCGGCCAACGACGAATCCTTTTACAACATATTTCCTAAGCGTTAGGAAACGAACGCTAGCATGCGGGCGAGAGTTAACCCGAGGAACATCATGTCATGGCATTCCATACATGCTAGACCGAAATTATGTAACTTTTTAAGCGTTTCGCAATCGTGACCTGTGTGCACAGCCCGGTACCGCTTGGCGGCTCTGATCCCCACCTACTTGGGCTCTCTGGAACCAGCTGTCGCTTATGCTGCTCGAAAGCTCTTGCGCCTCTTTTCAGAACTGGTTCAAGACTCCAGATTTCATTTCAGGATCAATTTTAAAACGTCAGGTGGAGGCCAAGTTAAGTAAGGTCCAAATTTGAAATCACTGGTTTAAGTCTTGCGACACATGTGCCCACACGTTTGTCATACACATGTGCGCATACCATCCTTACTCAGGTGTGCTGGAAGAGTGCTTGTCATTATGTACCTGGCCATTCACGGTGACCACCTGAATTGCCACCTAAATCTTGACAAGTCTGCTGATGTTAGCACTAAGGCTTAGCCACCACACATCGGCCATATCGCAAGTCATCTTCTACCGCCATCGGCAACCGTGCCCATTTGCACCCACTGGTTCCAGAGTAGTTCGCTTGCGCTCATTGATTTCATCTACGACCTCCCTTGACTACCAAAAGGATTCCATGTGGTCTGAGATACCCCAGCCGAGTGCATGTGAACCACGCAGCTGCCTGTCGGCATCAGCGTGGCCTCACCGGTGGTCCCAGGGTATCCTGAGATTCGGCTCCGAACGGTGAAGGCTGTATCTGAAGCGGAAAGGCTCAATTTATGGCCTGATCGTCGTACGCACGGCTCGGTAAAGGTTTGAAAGAACCCACCCCGCTGAGAGCGATCGGTCTCCAGAATGCTAAAAGCTCTCTGCCAGTTTGCGATGGTAAACAACCAGCCAAGAACAGGGCTGGCAATCTGATAATGTCTGTTTTGAAAACACAGAAGCGAGTCTGGACCGCGTCGGGGAAGTGCTGTGAGCACGGGACTTTGTGATGTTCTGCAACGAGCTCTTGGAATTACATGTGCCTTAACCAGAGTGAAAGTGGCGATAAAAATGAAATGAACAAACAAAAGTTATTTCAGACGTGCATCTCTAAAACGGTTTGAAGACTTACAGTACTATTCGGTAAATTGCGTTTTATCGGCTATTTTTCAGGAAATGGCTGTGTTGCCTTAGTCTACAAAAAGACGCCTTGTGTGGCATGGGACAAAAAGGGTAGAATGGACAGGCGAGTTAGCAATTATAATCATGAAACTGATGCCAAAGGCTAGGCCAATGAAGCAAGTCGCCGATGGGAACCACACACATGCCGTCCACCAAGTTCATTGGAAACCCCGCCTGCCATCCAGGGGCGGATCCAGACGAAGGGGGGAGGGGCATGAGGCCGTGACCCCTATTTGCAGTCTATGGGCTCCGAAGGAGGCTTAGGCTCCAAAGAGTTCAGAGTGGGCCGAACCAACGCAGTTTTTACGCAAAACGCAAGAATCTTGACGTCTTTGGGCTTCCAAGCAACTAAGAACAGCCCGCAAGCGAAGCTGAAGGGCCCACGAGTAGCCAAAAACACATTATTTACTGAATGAGAGGGTGGTGGTTGGGAGGTTTTAGGGCTCATTACGCTGTCCAGAGATGTTCCGCTGTTTCCGGGGGCCCTATAGAGCCCGCGTTGTTGCTTGGGCCGTTCCCGTGTCGGGGCGCTTGCCAATCAAGGGCCTTCCACTGTTTCTTTCCATTCGCCCGGAAGGCTCTGTACGCCATAGCCGGTGGCCCCATGTATTAACCTGCCGGGGTCTTCTCAGTTGTATACAGGCCCCTTACTTTGGTCTCAGTTAACCTACCGACACACTGACGATATGCCCATGGACACTACATTGATCTAGGGCCCTTCCCATTCCCTGTCACTTGCTTAGGGTCAAACGTTCTCTTCGGAATCCCGTCTGTTAACCTGCTCGGGCACACTCGGTCGTTCGAGGCCCCCGAATTAACCTGCTCACGTACATAGCATTGTTCAGGAAAACTGCACCTCGGGTTTTGGTATTTGAGTGTAGGGCCCTACGTTCCTGTCCGGGACATCTGATAGTCCACTTGGGTACACTTGATCTTATATTTAGGAGTCTTTCAAACTTCCATGGGTGCTTCTTATTTTAGCGGAGGGCCTTGTGCCCTTGTCGGGCCCTTCTGGCAACCCGCTCGGCTACACTCAATTGTTCGGAGGTCATCTTCATTGGACCTTGGGTATTCCCTTTTTTAATGGAGGGCCAACGCCAATGTCGGGGGTTCTATCTGCTAGCCTGCTCGGGTGCACTGGATCGTTTGGGGCCCTCCGCATTGTATCGTAAGTATTTATGATTGGAATGAAGGGCCCCACGCTCTTGTTGGAGGTCCCCCATCTGTAACCAGCTCGGGCACATCCGATCATTTACGGGCGCCCCATATTGTGCCTTGCGTGCCTTTTTCGAATGGATGGCCGTTGTTCTTATCGGGTCCCATCCATTAAGCTGCTCAGGCAAGTGGCGGATCCAGGAGGGGGAGGGGGTGGCACTAAACTATGGCCCCTTTGTGGCCCAAGGGGACTCATAGGCTCCGAAGGAGCCCATGACCGGCTGGACGGACGCAGTTTTCCAACACAAAACGTAACAAAATCGGACGGTTTTGGGCATACAGACGCCAAGAATGGTCATAAGCGAAAGTGAAGATCCCGTGGGCAGGCGAAGTTAAGTCTTCGCTCATTGAGAGGATCGTGTTTGGGGTGCATTTTGAGGCTTATTGTGCTATCCAGAGGCGTTACGCTGCTGTTCGGGGCTCTATATCTCCACTTACCTGGTCAACCCGATTGCTAAGAAGCCTTCCACGTGGTCCTTGATCCCTTTGCATTTTCTGGTAGTGCCCTACACTTCTGTTGTGGTATTATCTGCTAGCATGGCTGGGCACTCTTGATCAATCAGCAGTCCTCCACGAATTCTTCCCACTTTCCCGAAAGGTTCTATACGCTCTTGCCGCTCCTTCCCCTCCCCTCGTATACCGGGGTTCACTCAGTTGCTCAGGGACTCTTCATATTAGTCCCGGGTCCTTTCCACTTGCTCGGAAGGCCTTGTGCAGTTGCTGAGGCCCATGTAAGGTAAGGCAGCGAGCCATTCGATGCTCAGGGGCTCTCCATCGTTTGCAGAGAACCCTTCACTCCTATCGGGGCCCCTTCTGTTAACCTGCCCGGGGCACTTTTGATCGCACGGGGACATTAATTGACGCACACTGGTCTTCTGTAATTCCTCTTTGCTCAGAGGGCTGTGTGTTATGGCTCGCGGCTCATATGTCAGCATGCCCGGGGCACTCCTGATCGTTCAGGGACCCAACAAGTTGGTCTTGGGTTCTTCTCGCCTGCTCTGAGGACCTTGTACTTGTTAAAGGAAGCATCTTTGCTGGCCTGCCGCGGCACTCACGATCGCTCAGGTTTCGTTCCTATTGGCCTTGGAGCCTTAGTCTTAGAGCAGCAGTGGGACATGCGCCAATGTTTTTTTACGCGCAGATATCTAACATACTTTTACGGGTCGCCGACGTGTTGCATTTCTCTTTACCGTCAAACATTTTATTTCCACTTATTTTCTCGGCTAAGCTGCTATTCTCATGCTATTCATTCCCAGACACATTTTTGCAGCAACTGGCAGAGCTGCCAAATGTCTAAATATTGCATCACAAATCGCGATTCGTGTTCAAAGCTGGTATTAAAGGCAGCATTCCACGTTAAATGGGGGTTTTAACTGAAACAGCCATCTTGAACACTTCTCGGTGTTGTTCATTATCCTGCCTTTCTTAAGACGAAACCCCTCTAGTTTTTGAGCCAAGCGCCCGCAAAGGTATGGAAAGGTATATCGGGGAGAGCATTTCAAAGTCAGCTTGGCATTCATGACGTCATAAGAACGCCATTGAAATCCTGCCATTCCATAAGCCATGCGGCGACCAAGGCCAAGAAGTGCACAATGGTCGAGGCGTTCATGTCTGGCGTTCTTGAGCGCGCTTTTCAGATATAACGGCCGTCAACTGGCTCTCAATCAATGTTGTGCAAGGCACGATGACGTAATCAGACCATGACGCATCGAGGAGTATATTTACTTAAAGGAGAATTGTGATGTCAAGAGCAGTATTTTCCACTTAAAAAGTATAACAGTAGTTAGTGAGGTTGTTTCATCATATCTGATGCTTGCTTCAATATCTTCAAATGTGGAACATTCGTTTTAAACGCTTCCAGGCGGTTGAAAGCTAATCGGTGTTCGTTGACGCAACGATCCACGTTAACATACTTCAGACACAAAAAAGTCGATGATCACATTTTTCTTGACCTCTAGCACCATATGGTCATTGAGGTGCACACTTTGTGTGGAGTTTCTATCGTGTCATATCTAGATGATTTCGAAATGGACAACGCGAAATAGTCTGCGCGAGTTTTCTTACTCCTAGCTCAAAAACGAGAACATCTCAAGTTTTGAGAAGGGCATAAGTGTGAACTGCGTGTCATGATCATGGAATTGGCCGTCTCAGTTGAAAACCTCATAAAATGTTGAACAAACCACCAAAGTACATTGCTTGAATAAATGACAACACGGAAAAATGGTGTCATGCTAAAAGGACAAAATCCAAAATAGCAGCATGGGAAAAACAACAAGCATTTTGAAAATTTGCCAGCTGGCTTGTGCGGTACGCGCGAACGCTGCAACCCGTTGGTAGTGACAAGGAATTATATGTATATATATATATATATATATATATATATATATATATATATACAGGGGTGTAGTCTCCTATCAAGGTGTGGGGGCTTCAGCTCCAGGGCTTCAGTCAACTGTTTTCAATGTCGCCCTTTTGCAGTTCACCATTTTGCCGCTTCGACTTTTCGCCGCGTCGATTTTGTTATGTGTCGCCATTCCGCATTCGCCACTCAGGACTCGTAAAAAAGCATTCGCCATATTGGATTTTCGTCTTTTTGTCACAAAACCACTGCCATCAGATCAAGGAAAGCAAAGATTGACTGAGGTACCGCTTACGGGCCTATTCAGAAATCACGTTGGATGAAAATTGGCTGCGGGTGTTGCCAGGTTCACTCCTTTCGGCAGAGGAAGTCAAGGAGTTTGTCCTGGCTGTCTTTCGTGACTGCAATCAAAATTTTGCAACCAGCGCAACTATTTTTGAATGTGCATTAACCGTGATGGCATCGAATGCACGCCTCTGCAGCGTTCATGGTCCTGGATACCGTCGCTTATGTCTTAGCTCGCTGCATTCGTAACTGCTTTCCGAAAAGTAGCAGCTACTGTGTCTTGGTTTAGTGCTGTCGCACGTGCAGTGTAGAGATTGCTTAGATTAGTTATTGATCGCGCACTGGATTTGGCGTCTTTATCCGGACGATAATCATCACGGATTCCACAAAAAGGAATAGGACTGTGATGGGCTGCTGCGCACATGACTGGTGACACGCATCGACATAAAATGTTGTCAGTGCGACTGCCCGCTCCCTCCTCGGTGACACACATCGACATACACTGTTGTCAGTGCGACTGCCCGCTCCCTCCCTTATGACACACATCGACATGCACTGTTGTCGGTGCGACTGCCCCGCTCCCTCCTCGGTGACACGCATCGACCTACACTGTTGTTAGGGCGGCTGACCGCTCCCTCCTCGGCGACACACATCGACATACACTGTTGTCAGTGCGACTGCCCCGCTCCCTCCTCGCGACACAACATCGACATACACTGTTGTCAGTGCGACTGCCCGCTCCCTCCTCGGCGACACACATAGACATACACTGTTGTCAGTGCGACTGCCCGCTCCCTGCTCTCGCAAGCTGTAACCTCGTGCCAACCTGCCACACTGGGCCATTGAAATGTGGGCCCGTTTCGACTCGCGGAGTGCTTTTGTAGCTAACATATTTTACCTTTGCCATTTTAACCGAGGTAGGAAGGCCGCATGTTGCTATAATTACATTGTTGCAAACAATTTGCACCTGAGCAAACCGCACTTTCGCAAAAATATGAAAATTTGACGGCACAACTATAAAAAACTGCCCTTCTTGTTGCTGAGAACCCCATGAAGCTACGATTAGTGGTTCCTCAGCTGTTTGCTCCTAGGGAAAGTGACGAGTGGGGCCGAGTCCGCTGAACCCGGCCGCTCATCTTGAAAACCGTTTCCTCGTTAGAGTTTTCAGCCCGCGGCCTCGTTCGTAGCGCGTGGCACTCAGCCGTGCCTGCCTGATATCATTTACCAACATTGTTTGCCAGTTGAACTCGACCAGCCACAGCCCGGGCCGGTGGAAGGAGGTGCTCGTGCCCACGACGGGACGGGAGCCGGTCGACGACATCCACTTCCAGCAGCAGGTGACGCTGACGAAACTCACAGCCGCCACCGCCTATGACCTGCACATACAAGCCAAGAACAAGCACGGCTGGAACCGCGTCTCAAACACCTTCCACTTCTCCACCATCGGCAGAGGTCAGTCCATGTGGCCGTGGCAGGTAACGCAGACATCCTCTTTCAGTAGATACAAATCGGCTCACGTAGGTACCTTAGGGCGGGATTAGTTTGCAAGTGAACATTTATAGGGTTCAGCTGTTTGTCCACCATACATGTATAATCTGCTTTCAAAGTACTGCGTCGCTCTTCTAACTTTGTGAAATGCATTTGGTATAGATGATTCGGCGGGAAAAATATATTAAGGCATCGTCATTCCGCTTCCAATATCGAGGAGCCAAAGGTACCGGACAACTGATCAGCATCAGCTTAGCGTATACCCCTGAGCTGCACAGTCAAGGCAAGACACCACCCGCGCTGGCTTCATGTTACTGACAGTCTCTGCCTGCCCGGTGCAGCGATGGAGTCGCGCAGCCTCGCCGCCAACCGCGGCTCACGCCCGGCGCTCTATATTCACCTCTACTTCATCCTGGTGGGCGTGGTCATCAGGAGCATCGTCTGAGGTCACGGCACATGTGAGCGTTATAGCGAGGCGGGTGTGCTGTGAAGACGGCCGAGGTTTGGGCTGTCCATCGTGCCGCTGCCACCGCGCGTCGGGGGTTGGCGGCCGTCCGGTACGGAACGGCCGCCGTCCATGCCATGCGACCGAGTATTATGCAGCGAGCCATGTTCTTGGGTGTGCACATAATGCACAACTTTTTCCCGTTGTCTGTACACACCTGTATATCGTTGTACATGGGAGTCAGACACAGTAGCCGTTCGACCGTGTCCCGCGTCTCATAGACCACAGCTTTCTGGCCCAGCGGCCGCAACTTCTTCTAACTGCCGCTAGATGTCAGATGAGGTCTTTCCCTGCGCTGGTAGGCTGCGCCGTAACACTTTTGTCTGCTTCAATTATAGCCTGAAATGCTGGTTGCACCGAGTCATACTGGATATATGCTCAGCGTTATACGGGCTTAACAGCTCCACGGCAAACATTGAAACGGCATTGGAAACTGCCTGGAATAACGTGCCTCAATGCCGTACTTAGTGTTACACGCCACTCACTTCAACCGCTACGCTCTGCTCGGGGCCCGTCCACCTGACGATGTCACTTGCCAGGCGGCATTCTGGTCCCGGTGCAGCACGCTAATGCGATTGCATGACTCACTGTTGCTGCTTTAGGGAAATTCTCATGCCATTTGACCACCTGGTTCACCTTTTCTATGTTTCTATATTTCACGAATGCAGTGGTCCTCCGGCCCTCTATTTCCCTGATCTTCCAGCTATTTAGTTCACAATTAGCTCCGTCGGTCCCGTGCACAGTCGGTCAGGTGGCCAGCTGGCTTGACCGCGCACAGGGACACTGGTTGGTGTTTGCCAGTTCGACAACAATGCGGCCTGGCCGTCCGCTGGTCCGATGGCCGCCGGTCTGCTGGTCTGCCGGCCTGCTGGCTTGGCGGCCGGGTGACCCCCCGTACATGGTAAACCAGGCGAGACGGCGGCACCGGCGGTGAACTAGGGGCCGGCGAGCCTCTCACGCGCCCGCTGGGCCCTGTTGGCACAAGTTTTATCGCGTCACCAAATTTACCGGCTGAACTATGGCCGAGACGGGCCGCTGCCCAACTGTTCCCTGCAGACCAGGCCGACGATCTCTGCTTCCCAGCACCCTATAAACGCCGCACTTTGGACCGCACCGTTCGCCCGGAGCGAACCGGGCGCACGCCTAATTTATACGGTGGGTGGCGTCACTGGGAAGGGTCGCGCGCCTCGGGGATCGCGGCGGGGTCGCACCGCCGTTAGCTCCGGCTCTCATTATGGGCCCGCTGGGACGCCGGCCCGCTCCACCGAATGTGAAAGAAGCCCGAGTGAATAATTTAGCGCATGTCTGGCCGTGCGGTGTTGTGCGCGGTAATGTATTGCTCCTTCCGTTTGTCGTCGTTTGCGGTCCGTTGCCCATGCGCGGGCGGTCATCAGATGTGCTTTGGTCGTGTTAGCGAGGATGGGCAGTGGTCGAGCGTGGAGTTTACGGGCGACTGTGACGCCGACTGTGGACTTCGATGAATTACGTGGTCATACTCGCTTGAGGCGCACTCCATGCGATTTCCCCAGCGTCGCTTAGTGCGCCACTCATCGCCACGCTCTGAAACATTCATTGTGAGGTCGTTGTTTTCACGAATTGAAGTGCATAACTGGCGCACGAGTCATCGGTACATTGGCATGATTAGTTCGTGCTATGATAAAATATTCCACTTAACCTGGGCGCTGTCCTCGCATGTGGTGTCAGGCTGCCTACCGAAGCAGCATCAAACGCGCTTTAAGTCTCTATGCATAACAAAACTGATTTGTTTCTGCTCGTTCCAGATTCCTGCCATAGATATCAGCCACCCCGGTAACTGAAGACCATTCGCGGAAATGCTGAACCCCGGGGACACCAGTGCAAACTCAGGACGGCTGAGGCAGCGGCAGAACGCAGTCGGCATGGCCGGGTGTTTTCCCGCCGCCGTGGGCGGGGCAGCGGGTCCGGAGAGCAAACACAGATCGTGGCAATGCCGAGGTGGGCTGGTGACCACGCTGACTCTGGGGTGACAAGCGTCGGACTTATGAGAGCACGCGCGAAAGCTGCTACTGGCGTCCACGTGTGCCACAAGCCGCGTATGCCGGCTTGAGGATGTCACGTGCTGCGGGCGATACGTGTAACGTGTGAAGCACGGCATGTCCACGTGGCGAGGGTGGTGCAGCCACGGTTCGCGTATGCGCGCGTACGTACGTGCGCTAGTGTGTTTGTATGTGTGTGCGTGCGTGTGGCGTGCCTGTGTGCGTGCGTGCGTGCGTGCGTGCGTGCGTGCGTGCGTGCTCGTGTGCGTGCGTGCGTGCGTGCGTGCGGAGCGTGGAGCACCAGAGCCCTCGGGCGGTAGCCCACCGACGGATACGAGCGCCCTACATGTTTTCTGTGTACTCCGTGGACCGGTCTAGTGCCTTGATGGAACAGCCACGGACCGTATGCCTGCTGTCGAATAGCGTCGAACCACAAATAAACGGTGTCGTCGACCGGTAGGGTGTACGGTGCCCCTGTGCATAGGTGCGTCACATGTGTGCATGCGCAGTATTCTGGTGTAAATACATCCAATCTTATTGTTTTATGTGATTACCTCGACTTTGAGTCAATTCAGAATCGGACGCATCAGTAGATAAATTTGTGCTCCTTGATTATGATCTATCGATTGAGAAATGTTCTTTTTTAAGTAAATGAGGCCGAGGAATATATTTACAAAGCTTCATTAGCTGTCAAAAACTTTATCTCAAAGTTCATGGAGAGCGTTGAGCGGATACTGCGCTCAAACAACCGAACGCGCCCAAACTCAGCCACTTAGCCAGTCGGTGACCACCAACGGTAAGCCACATTACACGGGTATACGCAATGTCGCAGCCCAGGCTCATTCGTGAAAGCTCGCGATGCACTTTCTGAAAAACGCGACGGAACTTACCCGCACGTCACTTACTCGAAACTCGACCGACTTGACAATCCTTCGGGCTAAGTGGACGTGGAAACTCTTCCACTAATAAAACCGATTCGCTAATGGATTAGAGAGCTGATTGCGTTCACCGCTTTCACCGCAGTTCGCCTCAGTTAGCCCCGAACTAAACCACTTAATCTTCCATTGCTGTCGCCGGCCCGACCGGCCGTTGATCGACTCGCGCCAGATAAGTTCGGCAGCGTGGTTTATGCCGGGCGTCTCCGCGAGGCACGATTGATCTGAGGGGTGCCCCGAGACCCCGCAAGAGAGCGTAGTCTGCCCTCACTTGTGGAGAGTACGTGGACCGGCTGGTGACCAGCCTGGCGGGGGCGCCCGTTCATCTATCTTCATTCGGCGCTGGCGGTTCGGCGGTATTCAGGGTGCAGCCCAGGCAACTGGACGCCACGACTGAATATCTATCGTCTTACATTTACGGCAGTGCAGTGTTGTGCACTGAGACGTACAGTGCCCGTCGTGCTGGGTGATGAAATCCACTTTTTTGTCATAGGCCCACGCTTGTTACATGTTCCGCTGTGTTTTTTTAACTAAAAAAAGATCGCGTGTGTGCCATTTTGCGGCGACATATAATGCTCTCAAACATTTCAAGCCCAACTATTTTCCTCTTGTCTCTTGTTTACACTCACCGGGGATGGGGTCACATGGACCCCTAAATTGCTCACATTGTAAATTCTGAAGTCTAAAGTGTTAGTTTTATACTTTAAAGGAACGTTAATGGAAGCGTTCCCAATATTTGCACACCCCAGTCTCACCCATCGTCATGCTTTGACACATTCGGCGTCATTTGCACTGTTGGCGAAAACACAAATGTGACGTTATGTTATACCGTCTATCCGCCATGGGCTAGCTTCGGCTTGGTTAGCATTCAGAGACCAGCAAGCCTGTAGAACATTTTTGTGAGGGGAATATGAGAGTCAGGTTTTCCGGGTGAGCTTCCGACTGCATACAACATGATAACGATGCATTGGCCGTTCTCTACTCATCAAGATGATTGTTTGCTCGGTGAAGCAACACCTGCAAATCATTGAAACTCTTCCAATTCGCACATTAATTCAGAGTATTTAGTAAACCCGGGTATCATCCGGCGAACACATCTTCCAATGATCTAGAAACCCAGTGTTATCCCTATGGTATGGCTTATGAAAAAAGGCCTAAAAGGTCTCTCACCCTCCCCCCCAACCCCACCCCCAAGCCTGATCAGCAGCCGCTCGCACCCTTTTCTCCCAAAAGGAATGCTTAGAGACCAGAGACGGTCAACCCCACGCACAAACGTACTCTCTGCGCGCCCCGAGCCAGGCCCACCACGGGCCTGGTGACGACGCTGCCCGCCGCTGAGCGCTGCTTTCCGGCGAGAGCTTGGCACGAAGCGCCTGCAATTAAATGGGCGGCGTTACCGAGACTAATTTACCATCGCATTAGTTACTCTGAATGTATCCCACTTGACTTTACGATCATGCTATGCAAATTGCTTAACACCTCCAACAAAAGCTTATTTCTAACGGCCAGCATGCGGGGTCGTTACCATCATGCAGACCTGTGGTTAGCACGTGATATAGAAATTAGCTTGTGTTTTAATGTCTTATTTCGGCTGGCCATTTATGGGCGCGTTCGTCCAACGGAAATAATTAGATGGAAGTTTGGTAACGTTCAGCAAGGAGGAAGCTTCGAGTGCCCACAGTTGCGGGATTACATTCAGGAAGCTATGGAGGCCACTTTAAACGGTGACATACATTAAATAGCTTTCACTCGTGTCTGGAACAGCGCGTTTGAAAGATATGAAACGCCACCTTTTAGGAATGTGCCCTCACGCTCGTATCTTTCACGTGGGCCTAAACAATCGTATGAAAGTCTTGAGCTCGTACTCAAATAGATAGCCAAAACATAAAGGAATGCATGTGCGTGCAAGCTTGTGAACAACACTACAACACACGCTTGCGGCTAAAAACATTGCTTATACGTGAGATCAGATCGACATAGAAGCGCCGTGTGATTACGAGCACAATAGTTGTGGCGCTTAGGTAGTGTGCCCATTGTGACGCTTTTGGCTACAGCGCCTCCTTCCGTCTGGCGATAGCGGAAACATGTGGCACACATCCAATCATATTCTTTTGTTGGATCGTGGCAAAAAATGCATTCATGTGTGCCCTTAAAAAGAAGAAGCGACGCCCTTGATTGCTGACCTTGCTCAACTACAACGTACCCATGAGCTAACAATTGTTTGGGTGCAAATCCTGTGGAAATGAGACGTTTGCTTTCCACCCAAGCAAGAATTCGTTACATTCATGTTTGCCGGCACAAGAGCCGACCGGTAAGGTCGTTCACACCATTGTCCATCGATTGGACGGACCATTCAGGTGCTTGGCCGACCTGCGATGGGCTCGGCACCACCTGCGCTCGGCCTCATGAGCCGCCCCACATGCATGGCCAGGCCCTCAAGTGAGTGATTTACAAACGGTTCGGTTTAACTCGCGACAAATATGTCGTTATCCAAGTGCTGGCGCGCACGAAGTGGGGCGCGGCATTCGAGCCGTCGGCCGGTAATTAGGCCCAATAGCCAGCGGACATAACCGTCACCTCGGCTCGCACCGGCTGCACCGGTAGGCCCAGCGGCACTTGATATATGGACCATTCCGGTACTACATAAAGCGCTTGCATGACGCCCGCCCGTCAGCTGAAAGAGTATCCCAACGTCATTAAGCAGCCGGCTGCAGACGCGCCCGGAGCATGACAATGGTGTTCGGTGGATGTCGCCCGGGAGGCGGAGCCGTCGGAACGATGCCACGGTCTGCCGTGAATTATCGTCATCCGGCGCCGTGCGGCTGCGGCTGCGAACGGCGACCTTCGCGGTCCATTTGCCCGGCTGTCTGCGGGCCTATTTCGGAGGTCGATGGAGCCCAACTGACGATGAGCGATTGCGTCGGGCTGCCGTCGCGCCGGCACGCGGCGCGCCTTGAGGGCGCTCCTGGCCGCGGCGTCCACGCGCCAGGAGGCTCCCTGGCCGGCCGCCGGCTCCTGATCCGCCGGCTCCGCCAGTGGCCCCGCCGGAGGCCCCGCCGGAGGCCCCGCCGGAGGCTCCTCCGATCTGCGCCATGCGCCTTTGTCTCGCCCCGCCGCCGCCGGCTGCAGTCAGCCTCAGTAATAACTCAATTAAGCGCCGCACGGTTACGCCCGCCACGGGACCCCCGGGAGAGGGGAGAGCCGGCCGGCGCCCCGGGCCACGCTACCAGTGACGTCACGGCGGAGGTAGACGACGCGGCCCGGCCGTTTCCGCTGTGTTTGGTCACGCCGCTGACGACGAGGTAATGGCGCCGCCGCTCTATAATGCAGGAGGACGGCTCGGGAGTGAAAAGCGCCGCGAATCGTCGCGAGTACCGCCGATGGTCGCTATCGACGCGACGGTGGGGTCGGTGATAAAGTGGCGGGGCGAGGCCGCGAATAAAAACGCCCAGAAGTGCTCGCGGCCCGCTATGTAGTGGGCTGTGTAGGTACCACGCGAACGCGAAACGCCTGGGGAGGTAAATGTGAAATGGAGACCACGGGCTGATGGCTTTACTTGGTGCACTGGTTAGAAGGGTCTCTTGGCAGGGCAAAGCATTCAGGAAAATGTTTCATGGAAGCAAGCATAGTTGCATACATACATTTGTGTTACCCTGATAGTTTTCATAAAAACTCGCAGTTACAATCAATAGGTTAGTACGTGAGCGTGAAGCATGCAGCGCAAAGGTGGCATTATGGATACACCATGTGCATTCAACACCTGACATGCCCATGCTTACATAAAGCATCAACAGCAGTTTATATATCGCTGTTCCCGCCATATATCACCTTGAAAGCAGAAAACAGACACCCGTGCTGACCAGCGTTACAGTTCCATGCAGGGGATTTTTATTCGCATGTACAGATGCAGTCTGCAAAACAACGTCTACTCAGCGTGCGCGATAAAAAGATCTGGTACTCATACATCCCAGGAAGGCGGACGGGGAAGGAGGGGGGGGGGGGGGGGGGGGGCGGATGTCGGCCGCAGGCCAAAACGGGAGCCTGGTGATCGTCACCATTAAAAAGTTACCCGCCCTGGCAGCAGGAAAGAGTGCGAAAGAGAGGAAGAGAAGAGAGCCCTCTCAGGAAATTGATTGAGAGCGCGTGCGTTTGAGACGTGAATAAGAAACACGCACGGGCTGACAAACAGAATTGAAGAGGATGCTTTGGCCGGTACATAATACATGCAAGGATGGTGGAACCGTGGCACCGAAGTGCACCGTGTCATTTGACCCCATCACCTGCCTCTACCTTTCTTTCCCCATCACACCCGATATGTGAACCGCTCTTCTTCGCAGTTCTCGTAAGCTTTCACATTCCCGCAAACTCTCATCCTCGCGCCCACACTCCTGCCATCCACGCTACCTGCGTGCACCTGCACGTCTCTTTGAGCCTACAGGATTATCTTCAATTTAGAATTCTAACACACTCTTACTGTTTTTTTTTTGTTCCTACTCTTTCTTCCCTCCTCAATCCAGCCCACTTACCCTGTCTATTGTCTAGTCTCCACATTTATTCTGCTCTTCTATCTGCTATATAAGCATACCATAGAATTAAAGCTGCATCAATGTAGAACCTGGACCAATAACCTCTTCCACTTGTCAGTCTCCAAACGTTTTAGGGATTCTGCATCTTCGGACTTCGACTGTCCGGTGCTTCGTTTCCACTCGATAGAACTCAGGGGTCGATTGCAGTCGATGAAGACGTAGCCAGGAGTGACTACCTAGTTTTTATGTTTTGTTTACAAATTGTCATTGCAGCTTTTGTAGTTTACGTTTGGCTGTCTGGTAAAATTTTCGGATAGATTTGCATGCGAATGTTTTGTTTGTTGTAGCATAACATATCGTAGAGTGTAATGGCTTTTATCTAAAACAGTGCAATGACATCTCACCATTCTGAATGTTATATTACCTCCGTTACCTTCCTACATATTTCGCTAACATTGAGACCAAGGGTGGTGGCGTCTTAGCTGCCCAACATCGACGACAAAAATACATATGACATCAGGGTAGTGGGTGAGGGTTTCAGGCTCTTGATTACACACACGAATTGAATCCGTTTGTGACGCTGATAAACGCCATTTTTGGTGTCTACTTACTAGGCTGGCAAACGCATGGAAGTAATCTTATTTCGGCACGTAAGTGAGAAACACGTAATCTTACCGTGGAGGCCGAACTGCCCCAAGGCTTAGCTTTTCGGCAAACCAACTTCCACGCGGGGTCAACAGCAAAAACTAATCCAAACACGCTGGAGAGGAAATTGGAAAGCGCAGACAGGGACGACGGCGGCGAATTGTTACCGCTGAGCCGCGGCGGCGGTGTGGTGGTGATCCAGTAAGGCTCCTGGGTCATTGACAGAGAGCGGGAGGAAAAACGGCCACACCCGAGGCGGGCGAGCGTCTGAAGTCGAACTGACCGCGGGCGCAGGAACCGGAGGGGTCGAAGGTCGGCGAGGGCGCGGGCCGAAGGCAGCGTTGGATCTCGGGTAAAGCCACGCCGCTGATGCTGCTACTGCTCGTGCCGGGATTGCGGAGGCGACTATGACGTATGTCATGACATGGTCGGGCGTTGTGTCGACTTTACTAATTTGAAACACAAGTATGAGAAGAGCATCTGAATCGCATGAAAGAGGTAAATCTCAAGCCTAAAACAAGGGGACGTTCGCATCCAGCATGTGTTGGGGACTGTTATACGAGAATTAAGGCACACAAAAAGCAAAAATCGACATACCAGATGCCAGAACTGAATGCCAGGTAGAATCAGCGAGAATGATTCGCAAACAAAACTATCAGCAAAACGTGAGCATGCCTGTATTGATTTAGCTTCGTTAAATGACTAGCAGCACTGTTTTCACGCAATTGCTTGACGCGTTGCGGGGGGCATGCCCGACACCGATGACTGGCGGTTTTGCTTCTGCTTTTTACCAACATGTTATGAAATGGTTGCGTGAATAAGCTATTTGGCACAGAAACGAAATTCAATCGATGCAATTACCGACGATAAATGCTCTTTTTCCGAGTCCTCTTTCACTGCCTGTAGCTTATCTATTGAGCTATTAATGGTACACGTTGCGCAGCTTGTCAAGATCTCTCGATGACTGTAAAGGCTTTGTTACACTAAAGGTTTTAATTGACCGTGGACCTGCCGCCACTTGCCCTCATTCCGGAAAGCATTTCCACTGACTCGATGCGTTCTCGACATACCACGTTGAAAGGAAGAAACTAGATTCACGAATGGACGGATACATCACAGCTTTTTGCCTTCACCAAAGATCGTGACATTCTACTGCGTTTCGTTTACTTCCCTCTCTTCGGTTTAGGCGGACACGAGTTAAAACCTTTCCCGCAAAGTAAGCTCGCAACGATGGCGTAGTGGTCTGGCTTCGCTCGACTGACCGCACCCAATCTCAGCCGCCCCTGACTGAGACAGCCCTGGGAACCCAGATTCTTTGCTTCCGGGCTGAGGCCCGCATTGAGCTTGCGAGCCGCGGATCGGAGGCCGCGAGCGGCTGATTTGTGTCAACGCTGCGGCTGCGTTTGAAGTCGCCCTGCACCGGGCGCGTCGGCACATCTGCCGACGCGGCGGGCCCTGACAACACTCGCAACCGGATTAGCAGCCGCGGTGGCTGACGAGTGGATCGTCGCTGCCGCCGCTCTGTTTGAATGATGACGCTGCACGACCTCAGCCCCATCCCGTCGGCGTTCTCGGCCGACAGGCGTCGTTAGTTCCCGTGGTTGCCGCTAGGGTCGGTGTCAACGGCGTCCGTAAATTCGCGTCGCGCGCTGGCGCAGCGTTCAGCAGGGACCTGTTCCGGAGTTACGGGCCGGCCGGGTATCGGGGCCTGACGTGACCCGCCGCTGACCTTTGTGTCGGAGCCTGACGTGACCCGCCCGTTGACCTTTGATATGCACAGGTGGTGTCAGCCGTCAGAAGCCGAGGGACAGCTCAGTGGCTCGGGAACGTCCACTCTGAATTGTGCACGATTGCAGTTAGCACGCATGGAGTCTGGGGGTCGTAGAAACGTTTCCATGAAAGCTGAGAGCCGCGTGACGCCTTTGAGGCAATATCTCGTGCTATTATGCAATAGGTAATGCGAGTGATGGGACAGATGTCATGCTTCAGACCTAAAGGTCTGGTTCAAATACCACATCAGCATACGGACACCGCTTGGCGCCCATTTATTCTCAACTCCATTCACAGTCGTCAGTTTGTTGGGAACGGAGAACTTGGCCTTTTCCTACCTTGACGTCAGGATGGCTGTGGAAAGGTCAGTTAAAGGTGCAGTTGGTGCTCATTGCAAAACATCGCGATCGCCCATCCTGCGAATTGCGGGCCTGGCAAAAGTTCGGTGCGGGGCCTTTATCAGATACTGAAACCCCATGTTGTTGTGTTACCCAATATGCACCGACTGATCAGAACCAAGTCATTCCGAGCGCGGGACATTGCTCAGGACCAAGATTGTCGGGCAGCGTGTACCGCGACCGAGCCCCTGTATTTGCGCCAATGTCCACGTTAAACGCGTTGCGAAACCTAATCGGCATCGAGCCAAAACAACGTCGACCAATACAAACGCACAAGTGCTGTCCGGAGCGGCGGTCACCTCAGGCACCGAGAACTGTCTCCAGCACAGTCCCCGCACGTCTGCTGATTGCTGCGCCCGCGACGTTCCTCCCGAGGGTACAGACTGCTCCACTTTGCCGCTCCGTTTCGACCCCGCGCCTCCAGCGATCGCCGCCCAAACGCACGTGTTTTGCGAAGGAGGTGGAAGTGTCAGCACTTGGCGCCCTAGATGATTGCGCGCCTTGCCCGAGACGCAATTAACCGGCGCCCATCCCGGCGCCTGTCGGCTCAGTACGTCATTGCCTGTAGTGCTCCTCGGCGTCTTTCCGAGGCACAACGCTGGCCTTTTCGGGCGGCTCTCAACGACTGCCGACGGCTGAGTCTGCAACGAATCAAGAATTAATGTCAACTGGCTGCCTGGAGGGCCTCGCCGGGTGCTGAGTCGCGCGGCGATGGATTGGTTGGCGCCATGGCCGCTGGATGGATTGATACCATGTAAGCAAGCACTTACAACAACCTCTAGAGAGGGTGTTACCTTTCTTGGTATGCAATCTTTTTAGGTTCTACACTATTGTTGTACCCACAGCAAACAATCGTACACATTAATGCCACCAAATTACACATTCACTCTTTCCTGTGTTGATCTATATTTTTCCAGATGATATGTATACATTTGTGTGTACATTTTATAATGTTTGGAGCGAGAGCTTCAAAAAACAAAACAAAAAAGGAAGTGGCCTTAACACCAATGTCTGGCAACCGATACCCGGAGCATGCATACAAGCCATTATGAAGACAGTTTCCTTCCAATCCAGCTGCGGCAACTCCTCATCAAACTGTCGGACGAATCACGTGCAGCGAATCGCCTGTCTGCCATTGTGTGTAATTTGGTTCGGTAGATTGGTGGTGCTGTGATAATTTTACCAAGTTTCCGCATTCCTTTGGGATCATTATTGGTGTTACTGCACTCAAATGTGAAATAAAATAAAGGAAAACTGGCGCACTTCCAATTTATATGTTTTGTAAGCTCCTTGCGGAAAAAATGCGTACTGATATGTCCCACCCAAAACGTCGTAATCGGTGAACATGATCAATATAGTGGGCTGGTGCCTCCAAAGTGGTTGCTGATACGCGTAGATAACTCTGAGGCCTTGTATTAATCCCAAAAGCTATAACACGGTTTCTGGCATCATTTGAACGAGAAATAACTGCGGCCAAAATGACAAGCTCAGTCATCATGAAACAATCATCTTGCCATGATTAGGCTTGAAAATTGTGGAGTTCAACGTGACAAATTGGTCATAATATAATTTGCATCCATCCATGTTTAGAGACGGCATCGCCTTGCTGCAAACGGTGTTCAAAAAAGTCTGATGTTACCGCTATCGTCACCAAACACTGAACAAAGAGAGAAGCGGTGATTTACTACAAAGATAATTCAGCTCGCAAACAAATACCTCAAATATCGATAATCAGACAAGCACCGACATTAGATGAAACATTTTGGGGCCATCGATCATCGCATCTAAATAAAATTATTCGTGCAAGCATCCAACGGCGCAAAAGTATCACTTCTCTTGCGGACGCGAACAGAAAACAACCGCCTGAAGCGATTCCATTCTTCCAGAGGGGTGCTCGCCGCCAAATGGCAACGCGTCCGGTCAGGTCCGTGACACCGCCCGAAGCAGGGCGCGTCCAGCCGGTGACGCACTTAAAATCTACTGATTCAGCCCCATTTTTCCGTCACTTAGATGGCTGTCGCCGAACGCTAGCAACGTGCGGCGCGTGCGCGTTCCGCCGCATTGTTTATATCATCTCCGGTGGCGGTGACGATAGCTTAAGTAACCTTTGGTGGAGACTGAGTAATCAACTGGTGTCCTTTTGAGCACGCGAAAATGTGACACTGCAGCCCTTTAGGTAAAGTTCATATTTGGACGGGACAGTGTACAGAATGTCAAATAAGTGGGTGTTAAATGCAGTCGATGAACCGATGCTTGCGGTGATGTCAATTTTGGCACAATCCTGGTAACATGTTCGACAACAGTGTATTGCATTCCACGCCGTTTTTCGAAATGCCGACATTCCCAGCTTGCTCGACGATTGCTGGCACGACCGTGCGCGTCGCATACACTCTTGTCTGCGACATGACCTGCGGATGGTGCGTCGATTAACGCATTGAAATTAACTTCGCGCCAACGCCCGCTCTGGCTGCCAAAATATGGTATTACATCTCCCAAAGCAGTTACAACGGGAAAATCAAGATTGGCCCCTCCTGTGCACGTGCCGCATGGCGCGGGTGTTCGGACATCTGTACCATGCGATTCCCCGTTCAATTATCTGCCGAGGCGTGTAAATTCTTGTTGCTCCGACCGCTGGTTACCGAGATTTGGCCCTGGTTTCCAACACCTGCCCGTCGTCTCTGTCCTGGTTCACATCTCCAAGCCTCCCGTGCAAAACCGACGGGCCAAAAATAGCCCCTCCGGCACGTGCCACTCCTGAGCTCCGGACCACAGCGGCTCGCAAGCTACCTGTGGAAAACTGTCTCATACGCCCACGCGCCACGTCCAAATGCCACCATTCAGCGACCCGCCGTTCGGCCCGGGCACGACGCAGCGCAAAATGGGACAGAAAGATAGACAGGTACACCTTAAGCAACTAGAATACAGACAAGAGTGTCTCACCCGCTTCGCTGGGGGACTGCTGAGGTGAGGTTAAGATAGGACGTCTGTTACTGTCGAAGCAGGTGAGAGGCACTTCTAGCCAAGTTAGCTAGCCAAGTAGCCAAGTTCTTGTTTCATCACTCGGTAGGACACATGTGGAGAAAGACGTGATACGCATACCGGTTTATTCTGTACAATTCACGTGAGAACAAAGCTGAAGGGATGCCACGACAAACGAGCTGTTTGCATACTCTCCCTCTCGTGACGTACGTAACTTTCAGTTGTTCACCGCATAAGCTGTCTATCCTATATACTAAGTCCTCGTTCGCTTTGAAAAAGAAATACCATAATACAACTTAAATCGAATACTTTCGTGAGTTATTTCGAGTAGCAAGCTGCAATTACTACTCACGCGATTCGAATGCTTTTACAGTTTTCACAGCAACGTAATGCATTGCGAATGAATGGAATAAAATAAAATATACACCGCGAAGCGGGCATAAATACATTCCGATTGCTACTATGGCTCACCTTTTCGTTCCCAAGGAGTGAATGAAAAAAAGAAAGAAAAATCGCCTGCCGGCCGTCGGCGATAAAGTACATTGCGTACGATTTCCGATGTTTTACTTAAAATACTCGGCGGTGCTGACTAGGCGATGTGTTAGTGGCATTTCAACGTTGCGAAAAAAGGAACTGTATGAACGGAATAATGTGTGGGATGACAAATAACTGGGTGATAATTGTCCCTGGTGACAGCTTTGGTGACAGCGTATTGCATCTGGTATCGGCTTTTCTAAATGGCAACGTTGCAGGTTTGCATGATGATTACCCGCGTAACAATGCATCGCACAAACTCGTGTTGGCTACATTGATTGCTGGTGTAATATATGTATATAATGTATACTGATTGCTGATTGTGTACTGTGACATAAAACATGAAAACGGTAAAAAACAAATAAACCCATCTTGACCGCTGCCTTGCACCTGACACACGGCGCATGCGGCCTCACGCGAGACGTTTCGAGATTCACCATTTAGTTTTTTATCAGTGTGTTTATATTGCGTCGCTGCGATCCGCGGTTGTCGACATACAGCCACGGTCTCGAACGGCTGCCCGAAGGTACAGGTCACAGCCTTTGTACGTTGACAAAATCTGACACAATGGACTAATTATGGCAAGCGTAATGTCATGGTACATCCTGCAGCGTGTTATTCCGCAGTGTTGCGAGTGATGTCAAAGCACAAACGTGTCAATATACGGCACCAAATAACACAACTTTTGTTGTGTGCGAAGTTGTGCTTTCATATCTGCAACACATTCGCATACGAATGGTTTGATCAGGCTGCATTTGTCTGCAACACTGCAATATCATTGCAATTTTATCTGCCTTATTCAGTTGACATGTATGGTGTCAAATATTCACGTACGAAAAGACCAGTAGCCACCCGGCCACGTGAAACACCATAGCCAATCGGCACGTGAGGTTGTCTAAATTTAGTGATTCTTGAAGTAAAGTAGACATATTTTCTGGCGTTTTTAGCTATTTCTTTTGATCTATGTTTTCTCATGGAAAGGCCGAACTATAAGGTAAGTCGTATTAAGCTGCCATGGTAGGCCATACCTGACCAAAAGTCATACAATATTTAAATGACGCCCTCCGTAAATTGTTATGCAAACGCGAACATAAGTGCACTTACGTCTCCTGCATCTACGAATGGGAATATCAAAATTCCCTTTCTTGTGACTTCCAAAGTGATTGTCTCTGTTCACATGGGCTTTTGGTATGGTCTGCAGAGCAAGGTATAAAGCTGCTAACAGCAACATTTCTTAGATATCGTATGGAGTTAGTGTTGGTCAAGTAACACCATGTCATGCCGCTCTTCAACCATGCGTTCGTTTTAAACGGCGTCATTGTTCAGTACCATCAGGAGCCATGGAGCCGCGTGAAGTCATCACGCGCCAGGAACTACGCTGAAAGCTGCGCCAGAAACGCCACGCGATGAAACTAAGGCCCGTTGGCATCGGAAGCAAGCGCTAAACGTAGCCACAGGCCTTGCCAGGAAGCGCACATCGAATGTTTTTGAACTGTCAAAAAGGTATGCAGTGGTGACGAGGCACACACAGCAGAGGAATGAATGTCATTCCAATAACTATCAGCTCGTTGTTCTGAATATGACTTTGGACAACTTGCGTCAAGCATTCGTGTTGAGTGCATCTCAAGACGCGCGGAAAAAAACGCGCTCCCTTAAACGCCACTTGCCAGTGAAACCAGCGCAAATGCACAGTTGCTCCAGCGCAAATGCATAAGCTAAGTAAACGTGCAGGCCTATGTCGTAAACGGATCGTACACTCGCACTTCAAGTCACTCAGCACCTTACTGGCGTAGCCCGAAGCCCATTATATAAATTGCAAGCAACTAAGACTTGAAATGACTGGAGCTTGATCGCAAAACTAAAATCATAAAACGAGATCGATCGATTGTACCTCTCACGGGATTCCGAGGAAGTCACGGATTGTTCGGTAAACTATCAAGCAAACCAATGGCTGCCGACGGCAACAACTGCAATGGTGCCGGAAATTCGCCGTGCAAAACAACAGCTGCCGGCGACGAGACAAGGGATGACGTCACGGATCGCGGCTCGCGGTCGTCTGATGAGATGTGACGAGAGGAGCAGTAGCCGAGTGGTTTGCGCATCGGACTCCCATGTGAGCGCCCGGGTT